ACACACACACACACACACACACACACACACACACACACACACACACACACACACACACACAGTTTAGAGCCATCAGCTGAAAATAAAATCAGATATTTCAACCATGAGATGTACATGGGATGGGTTAGAAAAGTAGAATTAAGCATGTACATGTTCTGTTGTAGTCAAACAGCAGTTGACTGTGTGTGTATATATTTGTGTATATAACTTGCCAGCAAATTAAAGAAGTATGGGCTGGATGAATGGACTATAAGGTGGATAGAAAGCTGGCTAGATTGTCGGGCTCAATGGGTAGTGATCAATGACTCCATGTCTAGTTGGTAGCTGGTATCAAGCAGAGTGCCCCAAGGGTCGGTCCTGCGGTCGGTTTTGTTCAATAACTTCATTAATGATCTGGAGGATGGCATGGACTCCACTCTCAGCAAGTTTGCAGATGACACTAAACTGGGAGGAGTGGTAGATATGCTGGAGGGTAGGGATCGGATACAGAGGGACCTAGACAAATTAGAGGATTGGGCCAAAAGAAACTTGATGAGGTTCAACAAGGACAAGTGCAGAGTCCTGCACTTAGGATGGAAGAATCCCATGCACTGCTACAGACTAGGGACTGAATGGCTAGGCAGCAGTTCTGCAGAAAAAGACCTAGGAGTTACAGTGGATGAGAAGCTGGATGAGAGTCGACAGTGTGCCCTTGTTGCCAAGAAGGCTAATGGCATTTTAGGCTGTGTAAGTAGAGGCTGGTTATTTCCATTAGTAGAAATTTCATTAAAGAAACTGGTTTACGAGCAGGGCTTTGGAGCTGTGCTCCGGCTCCGCTCCAGCTCCAGGCAAAAACCTGCAGCTCCAGCTCCGGGCTCCGCTCCAAAGCCCTGTTTACGAGTAAAATCAACCTTGCAACTGATACGTGGATTTATTCTAATCCATATATGAAACCTATTTGGTGCCAATAGTGGTATTTCAATCTACAGGGGAAAGCAATATTGTTCTCTGAAGTCTGGAGATTCCATGCTGCCAGCTCTCCTCACCTCAGTGAGAGCCTCCTGTGCGTTGGGGAAAGCAAAGCACAATAGACTAACTTGCCAGGAAATATCTTTAGAGAAAAAGGCAATTTCAGGTCAAATAACTGTACAATTTTGAAGAACTTCCTAACACCATGCAGTCATTGCTGAGGGAAAATGATATGAGTGATAAAAAATGCAATTCAAGTTAATCATCTCTTTCTGTTTAGTGAATGTAACACCTGAGCAATCAACTCAAGAGGAGGATGCCTGCAGCTGCCGCTTTCCAGAGGAAGAACAAGGAGACTGTGATGACTGTAGCAAATCCAAACTATTCAGGGATTCCTTGGTGCATTAGAAACTGGACTTTCTAAGGAAGCCAATTGTGGTTTCCTTTGCTTTGAGAGCACAGGACAGGAGCCTGGTTACATAATTGGGGTGGGGGGGGAGGAGTAGATGCAGGTTAAGTGAATTTTAAAACTTATGGACTGAACAATGCAGTCGGTGGTGGATGAAGCAGGTCTTTCTCAGTACATCACTGTCCTACAGACAGAAGAGTTGGTCCTTTATTTAAAAAACAAACAAAAAAACAAAAAACCTCTTTAAAAATTAACCCTTGCCAACATCTCAAATTCTAACGAAACTCTCTGGGCAGCATCTTTAAAATGAAAGCCAACTTACTAACTTTTTTTCATATGGTGGGACTAATATTTCTAATATATTATGATTTACCCTAGAGACTAAAAAGCATCAATAAGACAGGAACCACAAGCCAGACTGGTCTTATGTTACCTCTGGTAGGAGATGCCTATGCTATAGCTTACTTATTCAAGTTTGGGAGTGAGAATAATGTTCCTGAAGTTACAGACTAAACACTGACTACAGCTAGGTACAGTGCAGGCAGCCAGCATACAAGCTTCCACCACCTTGCTCTTTTCATGTCTGGAACTATAGCCCCTCCTAATTCATGCTCAGCTATCACACTAATGGGTGTGGTATAAAATCCTAGACTGATACTATTTCAACTGCCAGAATGAACTTCTATATCCTGCCCTACAGAATGCTTTCCTATTTCAGTTTAGGTAGAAGTTAAAAGGAATATGGTAACTCAGGGTTGTCAAATGCCTCAGAACACCTTTTCCGTGCTTTCCAATAGCTGTTACATTGATTGGCTTTGTAGTTGGAGTGGCAACACCGGGGCCACCCCAGGTACCGCCCCTGCAACTCCCATTGGCCAATAGGAGCTGCAGGGGCGGCACCTGCGGACGGGGCAGCATGCAGAGCTGCCTGTCTGTGTAGAAGCTGGAGGGGGGACATGCCACTGCTTCTGGAAGCTGCTTGAGGTAAGCACCACCTGGAGCCTGTACCCCTGACCCCCTCCCATGCCCCATCCCCCTGCCCCAGCCCTGATCCCCCTCCTGCCCTCTGAACCCCTTGGTCCAAGCCTGGAGCACCCTCCTGCACCCCAAACTCTCATCCCCAGCCCCACCCCAGGAGCCCTCCTCCCTCCTCTCCCCCCAATCCCCTCCCCCCAGCCCAGAGCCCCTTCCCCCACACTGAACGCCTCATTGCTGGACCCACCACAGACCCTGCACCCCCAGCCAGAGCCCTCATCCCCTCCCGCACCCCAGCCCCCAATTTCATGAGCATTCATGGCCCGCCATACAATTTCCATACCCAGATACGGCCCTTGGGCCAAAAAGTTTGCCCACCCTTCGGCTACACTGTGACAAGATAATTTGATCTGAGACCATGTGATTAGTGCAACTGGACTGTATCATCCTTTTGATCTTAAAATATTACCCTCTGATTTTTGGATATGTTAAATACGGTACATACATTGCAGGTACAGTACATGTAAAATATAACTTACTATGTTGCTAATTTCATAGGTAGAACTATGAGGTTAGAAATACACTTTCTGATATGAAAATATCTGCCTTGATCAGTCACTATTGCTTTTAATTTGAATAAGAATGGGAATGTGTATGTTTGAGTCATGGCATTGGCAGTGATAGTTGTACCCTTTTACAGCACTATAAACATATTTTATATTTTATCATTAAGTGTTATTCAAAAATATAATGAAAGTCAACATGTCATGTAAAGACTGGTTTTGGTGGGTGTGTTTTTTAAACTAGGCAAGGTACATTCCATCTAGCAGATGAATGAGAGCCCAGTCTCTCTCTCCATGCAACATAAGCCTTATGTAGCAGTAATTTTTTACCAAACTCATGCTTGCTGGTTTTGATTAAATTTGTATATAATTGATTACAAAGCAAAATGTAAGAAAAGAAGAGTGGGGACTGTAGCCCTGCCTGTAAAGTTACATATTTACACTTATTTAAATAAGATTTTTTTAAAAAATAAAGTAAAACCTTTCCTACATTTTTTTTATCCTCTCAATTAATGTGTTTTCAAACAGGAGAATGAGTGACCCTTACATAACGTAATATTTGCAAGTTTTAAGATGTAATGATCAAGGAGGGTGGTCGGTTTTTTCACTATTTATAAATGAACATTTGGTTCTTGTAAGAAGTTCAGAATGTCACAGATTACCCTGTGATCAGTTTCTAATCTAGAACCTCAGCAGTGGTATTTTCCCTGAAAACACTTGCATCAGTTGGAGTTTCACTCTCAGACAGAATCTGCATATCTTCAGGAACTTGAAATTCTTATTTCTTTTTCCTTTCCTTCCCTGCACACACACTACAGTACTTTTTCCAATCTGTTTGATGGATTGATTTTTGGAGACAAGGTGGGTGGGGTAATATCTTTTATTGGACCAACTTCTGTTGGTGAGAGAGAATCTTTTGGGCTCACGGAGCTCATTTCCACGTATGATTGATTTGGCATTAATGACCTTTACTTCTCACACCTAATTTGTGTCCTGTTATGCTGAGCATTTAAGCTCCATATAAAATTCCATTGAATTGAAATATAAAGTCCTTGGGGCACATCCTCAGCTAGTAAATTGACTGAACAGGGCTATGACAGTTTAGGGGGCAGATTCTAGTAGAAAGTATTTCTAGGAATAAACATTCATAGAAATTACTTATGCTTACTTTATGTGACATAAGTATTCTTCCAGTAAATTAAAGGCTAGTATGTGGGGCATTTAGTCAGTCAATTCTGGTGCTATGGAAAAGAATGAAAGCCAGAGCCAATAAAAGAAACAAGTGGCCAAGGAGTTCAGCTGTGAGCCTCTTCGGGCTAACTTCCATTTAAAAAACTGCTATTTTATTTAACTTGGAATATGAAGGGCATAATGCATACATCTACAAGTAGGTTTATAAACAGAGCTTGAAATACACACTGAAATTAACACATGGTACAAATGCAAAGGAAGGTTCAGAACACTACCAGGGCATTTCCTACAAGGGACACAGTTCTTATTTGCCAACAGAACTGCTGAACAGTAGCCTGTGCTACTGTATTTTATGGAAGGTGCAAGGAGCAGAAAATGAACACACATGAAAGTGTAAAACTAAAAACATTAGCACCAATTTTAAATAATGTGCTTTGCACTTCAATATGCTCCATGTCAAAAACAACTCTATAGGAAATAAGGTAATCTCAAGTGAATAATGTCTGTAGCAAATCTATTTAACATATCTCAAAACTTTTACAGTATTTGAATTATCAATAGTGATCTGTGAAGTGTCTTTATAAAATATTAAAGTCTTAGCCATGGGCTCATGTACTTCCTAGAACGTATTCCAGTAGTACCTGCCTTTACTACGTTCACAATGAATGGCCTGTTCCCACTCTAGATCCCAGATAAGCACATGTTCTTGATGATAAATGGGGGTTGTTCAAAAGTGCCATTATTTCACACGTAGACAGTAGACACAGCTCCTTTCCCTTGCAGCATGTCAGAGAAGTGTCTGCTGCAGTTTGCAGTATCGCGTGCAGTCTCCTCAATTTACATCAGTCTTCAAGAGAAATGTGAAGCTATTGTTCACATCTTTTCAAGTTTAGTTTCTTCAATACTTTCTGGAAAATATTTTCAAGCCATTATTTTCTCCTCTTCTGAAAAAAATGAGATAAGTTTGTCCAAGCAGTTTGAGGAAAATATAATGAGCAATTAGTTCACACATGTCTAGTCTCACTGCAGCTGTGCTGAAATCTTAATTCTAACAAAATGAAATAAGGAATTCAGATCTAATCCCATCGGCAGGTAAACAAGTAATATACTGTACAGTTGAATGTCAACTGCAATAGTAGCATCACGTTTTGACTCAATAATTCATGATGGCACATCTAATTGTTTGAAACAATTTGCTCCCTAAAGCTCCTGGAAAAATGTGGCACGCAGACTTTTGGGTTCATCCCTGATTGTATTAACAACAACATGACAAATTACTTCTCTCAGAGTTAAACTTTCATCTAAAACTAAATTTTCATATACAGCAACTATGTCGATAGACTGTCCATTCATTAACACCGAGGAATAGCAACCTTACTGTGCATTCACCTGAGTTCAGTAAAAGGCACCATCAAAGTAATAAAGAAAACCTTGAACAGGGAAGGAATTGCATTATGTAGATCTAGCCATTGGTAATTAAGCCAGAAAGAAGGAGTCATCATTCAACTCACAGTTATGGCAAAGAAATATATTTTGTTGCTAGAAGAAGTAGGCTGTAGGTGAAGGCTCTAGGATTCACTGCTGCTTACAGCCTTCCTTCTTGTCCCTGGATTTTTGGCGTCCTAGCGTTTTAGGCTGACGTTTGGTCGGTGAATAAAGGCAGGTCCGATGGTGGTATCCATATAATCAAAGAGGCCATCAACTGGGACAGTGTGTGACTGGGCAGCTGCAAAAAGAAGGAATAGAATGAATAACTCCAGCTGTAATAGAAAAGGCAGGAGGACTAAGCTGAGTCACTAGGTGTCAGGGGTTATAGGTGTAAATTCCTCATTTTAAAAGTGTTATTGGAAAGAATGGGAGAGATTCCAAGACCAGAAGGGGACCACTATGATCATCTAGTCTGAGCTCCTGTGCAACATAGAACTAACCCAAAATCATTTCTACAGCATATCTTTTAGAAAAACATCCAATCTTGGTTTAAAAATTGCCAGTGATGGAGTATCCACCAAGACCCTTCATAAATTGTTCCAATGGTTAATTATGCTGTTAAAATTTATACTTTATTTTTCAATCTGAATTTTTTCTAGCTTCAGCTTCTATTGGCACATGTCGTAATAACTTTCTCTGGTAGACCGAAAAGCCCATTATTAAATATTTGTTCCCCTTGTAGGAACCTATAGATTGTAATTAAGTCACACCTTAACCTTCTCTTTGTTAAGCTAAATAGAATTGAGCTCTTTGCGTCTATCGCTATAAGGCATGTTTTCTAATCCTTGAAATCATTCTTGTGGCTCTTCTCTGATCCCTCTCCAAATTTATCAACATCCTTCTTGAATTAACGACACCAGAACTGAATATAGTATTCCTGCAGTGGTCACACTAGGGCCCAATACAGAGGTAAAATAACCTCTCAACTCCTACTCAAGAGTCCCCTGTTTACACATCTCAGGATTGCATTAGCTCTTTTGGCCACAGCATTGAATTCATTTTCAGCTGATTATCCACCACAGCCCACACATCATTTTCAGAGTCACTGCTTCCCAGGGTAGAGTCCTCCCCCTTCTGTAAGTATGGCCTACATTCTTTATTCCTAAATATATACATTTACCTTTAATCATATTATAACAGATATTGTTTGCTTGCACAGTTTACCAAATCACCTATCCTCTTTATCACTCCTCCTATTTTTGTCCAGTCATTGTTTACAGGCAGAGTTCCTGTTACCCCATATATAATTTCTTCAAATTTGCCAAACGTACATTAGCAATCCAGTGCTGATGAGGAACCCCATCATAAGAGACCTGTGAGCATGGACTTTGTACATAAGTGGACCTACCACAAACTATGGCACTTGTGGGATATTCGGACATTAGATTAATGAGGGCTCAGATTTCACTTTATATTGGTAATAGAAAAAATTTGAAAATATCAGAGAGAGACTCCAACACCACAGCTGCATGGACTGGAATGTGAGAGGACAGATGTTTTATTAAGCATTAGCTTATGGAGCTAAGCATGGCTAGGTATTATTACCTTGGGAGCAGAATGCAAACACTTCAGCAGGTGGTTCTTTTTTGACTTAAAAGTTGGGTCCAGAACTTCAACAGTATTTTGAGGAAACTGTTGCCTGTGGAAACGTTGAATGTTACAGCAGATTTACATACTTTTGCCTTTTTATTTGCATCTTTAGGATTTCATATTTGTAAGTTTTCTTCTTCAAATGTCTGAAGACAGTTTCTGAGCTTACATGTTTACAGAACTAAGACAGCTAGTCATTTCTTATCTGGACAACCTTGATCTGAAACTTGTACTGTTCCATTTCAGTCCTCTCTTACAGCAAGAGTAACTCTTATTCCCACCTCATACCTCCTAGAAGAACATTCAGGGGTATCTTATTACCATGTCCTATGTATGTCCCTATTAGTGCATTCAGGTTGTTTTGTGGTGGGTTAGAATATAGATTAATTTATTTAAGGTAAACTTTGCTGATTCAGAATTCAGAAGCGTCTCCTGAAATTGGAATGCTGGTATATCAAGATTTGGATTTGTCCCCTAACAACATTCAGATGGAGTTTACAAGAACACATTTCAGCTTCAACTTTAAGTATCGGACACATTGTAGCATGTATTTCTTGTTCTTTTATCTACATTGAGTGACTGATATATCAACATTTTACATTAGCTTAAATAGGGAAAGTACTGGGAAAATCGTTGAATATCTTGGATCTTTATTTCCTCAAACTGCCCTTTGAACTGTTATGAACCTGAGATCCCATTACATGAAAAGAGACTGCGGTAGAGAGAGAGCATTTAACTAGCTGGAAAATAACTTCTGCACAAGGCTCTAAAACTTTACTCCCTCACAAGTATACAAGGCCCTAAAATAGTCCAGAATATATACATATAAGAGATTACTAGTCTGAATAAAGACACCTACTTTGTTCTGTCTATGCTGCCTCCTTGTGTTGGGAAGTCTGACCTTTTCAGGGTCTGACCTCTGACTGGGGATCCAGGTACCTCAGCATCTAGCCATACCTCTTTATATTAAGACAATAACAAGAGTTTATGCTGACTTGGCCCATAAAACAGAAGACAGACAGGCAGCTCTGTGGTGTACACTGACTAAGGAGGAAGGTTATTAAGATCTATAGTGAGACCAAGCTTGAATAATTAGGAACACACCATTGTATTTGAATTGTAACCTGCCAACCCTTTGAAGGTAAGCTTTTGACCCTATGTTACGTATACTGTGTTTTATAAATGTTAGCTAATAATCGCCATGACATCCCAGTGAGAGATGGATTATTATCCCCATTTTATAGCTGGTGGAATGGATACTAAGAGGTTCAAGACTTGTCTCACACTACACAGCAAGTCAGCAGCCTATGAAACCATGCTGCCTCCCTGATGAGCCAAAGGCTGAGAGCTAGCAAAGAATTTCATTTCAGCCGCATTTGTTACTTCTGATGTACTGGAAAAATGTCAGTGTTACTGAGTCCCTTGGGATACCCCAAACAGCAGCACAGTACAATAAGTAGAGGCACTGGGTGCAAACTGACTTTTGTGCTAATGATACTCCTTCCCTTCTGCCACACAGTTGTATGACTTGGCTTCTGTTATTCAAAAGGCAAAGGATCATAAACACATGCTACCCCAGATCCAAAAGTGCATCATTCCCAGGAGCAAACCATGGTCAGCACTGGCCTGTGGCATATGTTCTGTCTGTCCATTTTAGATCACATGGCTACTCACAGCAATGCCCGGGACAATCCCCTGGATGCTCAGGGTAGACACTCCTTGTCCTGTGCCGCATTTGGCTGACAGCATTATAGTTTCATTTTTTATTCAGACACAAGGTGGATGAAGTAATATCTTTTATTGGACCAACTTCATTTGTTATTTATTCATTTAAGGAAGTTGTAATTCAGTAGCTGAAATTCACGTTGTCTGAGCTCATCCCAAACAAAGCAGGGAATAGGGAAAGATCCCCTACCTTTCCCAAGTAATGATACAACAAAGAACAGTTTTTCCTTACAAGATAAATACTTCATGGGACTTTTCTTGAAATTAACCTTAATGTAATTCAGAGGAATTGCTCAACTCTAATAATGTTAGCAACTTTGCCAGAGACTAAAGGGGTCTGAAAATTCGGAGCTGGTTCTGAATTAATGCCTCTAAGTTAATTCAAATAAATAGAGTTTACTGTTATACTTTAGACAATATTTCTTTCATCCCACAGCTAATATTAGAATTCATTTCAGCCATTGACTGCATAATGGAAATTGCTGCAGGTTGCTTTACACTGCTGCTCCCTCAATGTGGGTGTTTTGATCCTCTGGTAGGTGTCTGCCCAATAGCACTATGATGAAATCTTTCCTTCCGGGGGTGGTATCGCTCAGACCAGTGAGCTTGTTAGCTAACCACCACAGCTAGAGAGCAAGTGTGTGCAAGAGGCTACAAGCACACTCAGCTTTATGATCTCAGCTGCAATCACCTCTCTGTCTACTACTGTGACATCCACATTAGACCTTTAAATGTTAGGGGTGTTAAACAGCCCTCCCTCTAACCTGAAGGTTATTAGGGTGGCATAGTTCAATGGCTGGCACCAATTTAAGGTTTTAATTTTAAACAGAATTTTTCATGAATAGGAGAATTTGAGTTATCAAAATAAATGTGTAGCCATTAACCAGGCTGACCAATTCAACTCCTATTCTCTCCTCCAGATCCATGTAAGAAGTGTCCAGGCCTCTACTTATTGAACCAGACAATTAGATGCATGCCACAGCTCGAAGAAACACACACCATTCTTTGCTGCTTCAGTACATCTGGAGAACTTTGAACAGAGATCAGCTGCTTGGATTCCTCACTAGCCCTCAGAGAGAAAAGGGTCAGCAGTAAGCATTACCAGCTCCTCATCTGGCTGAAGTTTCTCTTAATTCCTCATTTTTTCCTACCCCACTCTCCTGCTGGGTCCCTTCTGCCCGAGTCTTTGGTTCCATCAGCTGATGATATAGTCCCATGAGCTCCTTTAGAATAGAACATCATCAATTCTTCCAGTGAATGAAGCACTGAAGCTTGACTCCACTTGGCATGGACAGCACTAGGAGATTATGTGAATTACATCTTTGTGATTACTGTGAACAACTGTGCTGGTAATTGTGTCAACTGAGCACTGAAGCTGCAAAACCAAATCCAGGGCTTGCCAGAATATGGAGATTGCTTTGTAGGAAATGAAGGGAATTGGTTATTTTATTTTTGAACTGGTGAGGAGCAGAGAAACTTTCAAGCATTTTGCTTATTTTTAATTTATATTTTTCCTATACTAACCTCCACAGCTTGTTTTGATGCCCTGATCTGTCAGGCATCTCCTCTTCTCTGGTCAGTAAGCCCTTAGGGGAATTTTGTTTCCAGCACCTACCTTACAAAAATATTTTTGGGACAGATAGGATAGAACCCTTGTGACAGATTTCCAAGTTATTTTGTTTGCTGTAATTATAAAAGCACAGAGGACTCTATGTACTGTCTTCAGTCTCATTAGCTAGGTCTTCTTGTGACCTGGAATATTTTCTCCAAGTGGTAGATACTTAACATGTTACCTTCTTTGTTCTTGCTTCTCCTTGGCTCAGATAAGTTGCTCCCCTCATCACTGTTCTCTGTCCCCAGGTTTGTCTCATGGGATCTCCACTGGGCTTTCAGTTCCTGGTTCTGCATATATCTAGCAATCTCCTGGAGTGTCATGAGACAGCATGTGAGAGAATGTTAGTTCTCACTGAGCACATAAACATGGTTTTAAAGGTCCAGAAGCATCATGGACAGAGATACAGACATTCAAACACTAAGGGATTGTCCTTAACTACTGCCTACAACAGAAAGACAGCCCTGCATCTACCACAGGTCAAGGTGCATTACACAGGATTTCATGGACAGCTATAAAACAAACAAACTTTCTGAAAATCTTCTCACCCCAACAGGAACATGACTTTTCGCATAAAGTCACCAAATTCAGGCTTTGGTGACCCAAGGTGCGAAGTGAGTTATAGGGTCAAGGACTTCTCACTGAGAAACACCCTGCCACTAGTTTGATCCCATTTAAACCAGGAGGCTGTTAGCTTGGATGTCTTGGGCAACTGTAACTACTGGTTTATCACAAGAGGAGGTCTCAGGCAGGTAGGATCCAAACCATTTAGGCCTTTTTAGATCAAAGCCAATAGCATCAAATCAGAAGTCACCTGGCAGCCAGTGCACCTTGCAGAGCTAACGTGTGATGTGCTCTTAGCAGGAAACACATTGCTTAATAAGTGGGGAGCTGATTCTTCAGTAGCTGCTACTTCCAACTAGTTTAAGTGTGAAGCCCCATCCAGGCAGCATTGCACCCAACTAGCCTTGAGATGACAAGGCATAAGTAACCATGGTGAGCTCCGGATCTGAAAGGAAAGGACATACCCTGCTTCCCAAGGGCAAATAATCTTATCCACAAACATAAATTCAACTACCATCTCTATGGAGATGACTCACAGATCTACCTCTCTAGCCACATATTAACTTCTGAAGAGCCGCATGCGGCTCCGGAGCCACAGGTTGGCCACCCCTGCACTATGGGATCCTGGTCTAGAACTAGGACTCCTAGGTTCTACAATAATACAAAGAATAGATAATAATAAGATAAGATACTTGGCAACTGCTGCTGCCGGGACATCCAGGAACATGTTGCATCTCAAGCCAGCACCAGATTTGGGCAACCATTACAAGATTTCACATCTTATTCAAACTCCATTTTACAGTCATAGTGTGCTGTGTGTTTTCCCCTATTACTGCAGTTACCACGGGGTCTGGACGTGTGTGTGTGAACTGAGGCTTTTACTTTCCTAATCTGCTGCCTGACTCATCCAGGAAGTGACAGCATGTTACAGGGGCAACATATATGTCTTCAAGGGTTTGGTGCTTATTCGTTCTGATGCCAACAACTGGGCCATGAAGTGGCATTGGGTTTGGAAGCTAAAGAAAGCAGTGGATTTCCCCTTTTTTGAAGTATTTTTAAGGAAGAGCCACCTCCTTCTTCCACAGTCCTGGAATTTTGCCCTGATATCTGCCACATTATACACACACACTCGGGCCAGGAAGCCATTTTCTAACTGCCAAGAAAAACAAACGAGGGAAATGTGAACCGCTTACATCTAGCCTGTTACCTCATCCTGAGCCACCTGGGCTGCTCGACAGTTGTCATTGCGTTCCTGGTTCCGCCTTCCTCTCTGCAGAATAGATTAAAGTTTATTGAGAATCAACAGTAAGAGATACTAATGGAAAGCAGGCAGCAGCAACAGTTCTAAGGGGCAAAGAGAGCAATCTATGCTATTTCTATGCAAAGTGACTTTTTTTGGTTTTATTAAAAACAGATCTTAATATTCTGAGATGCTGAAGTTGTTTTAACCAGTAGCCTGTCAAGATGGCCTGTATATGGACTCACGGGCATGTGAACTTTAGATAATGGAGATAGGATTGTGTGTAGTACACAATCCCCTAGAAAAATATAATCAAATTAGAACTTCCAATCTGAGAAACACCTCTGCTGAGGTAATGTGCTCCCTTTCTGCCCAAGGTTCACCTACTGCATGAGTCTACTCCTCCTCCTGCAGTCTCCAAGCCAGTTCTTCCTCTTGTAGGAACTGCTCCTGATTCCCAAGTTCTAGTTCTGCCATCTGACATTTCAGGGGGTTAGTGCTGCAAGGCTGCTGGGGATTCTCATCTGAACAGAACTGCAAAATCACAAATATCAGACATGATTGAAAGAGACCTGAGGTGGGTCCATCAGAAAAGCAGAGTTGGTCAAAAAGGAAGCTATTGCTAATGGGAATCCCAAGACTTCCCAATCTCAGCATGCTGGATCAAAGAATAATCAACAATGACAAAACTGGGGAAAGCTCCCAAAGAGAAGTAACACAACCAGCCTTAGGAAAAATTCTCCCTTCCAAAACAAACACTGTATTTGGCTTTCCAAATCTAGCATCTGTTGACTCTCTCAAAAGCTTTTATAAACACAGAGAAACAGGACTGGCCCTCCATCAATCAAGAAGAGCAGAGAGAGAAGCGGTGATGATATTTTTGTTCCTCTAATTAAAGAAAAGGAAGTTTTTGACTTGATTTTCTTCCCTCAGTCTCCACTGAACTCAGTTCCTCAAGATGCTCTGCTTCATTATAGGGTTCCCAAAGCCCAATACACCCCCCTGCTACTGAACATGTGATGACTAAAAGGAAAATCCTGTCACCAAGATCTATTATGCTGTGGAGTTGTCTATCACAGTAAGTGGCAAAAGCATCATCACTTGGTACATTTTAAACAAGACTAGACAAAGAATATACATAGGGAATAATCCTAACATGGCCGAAGGGAAATGGTCTACAAGAGTGTATTAAATGGCATTTTCCTTTTCTAATTCCTGTGATTTGTTGGTGCTGCTATTATACAAATATATGAATAATAATAAACAGTAAAACTATTATTCCCATTGAGATACACTATTTGCTGGTCAAACTCTTTTACCATTGGGTCTTTGCATGGGTAGCATTAGTTATACTTGTAGGCTGCATTTTCTAATAAGCAATCCCATATAAGGTTAAACTCCAATTCGTCTAATTACTAGTACCTGATCTGAGACCAGGGTTTCCTTTCCTAAAGGGGAGTTGTGAGTGACAGACCCTATTTTGGCTCTACTGTGAACACAGCCATCCCTCGGGGAGCGCAGTGCCCAGGGCGGAAGTGACGGATTCGTCTCTTCTGGCACCAACCACACTGGCCAATTGCGCCGGCCCGCAGGGGCCCCCCAAAGTACGGGGCCCAGAGTGATCGCCCCGATTCACCCTACCCAAGGGACGGCTCTGACTGTGAGACCTACCTTCTGTCCCTGGAGCTGTGTTCAGGACAGTCCTCATTGTCTGAGCTGGCTTTCCCCAGGACATTTAGAGAAATGTCTCCTATGTACCTTTTTTCCCTGTGTTCTCTGATTCCTTGTCCTACTGCAGTTGAACCCAATCTCCCCGTCTCCGCCACAAGGAGAGTTTCTGGAGCCCCTCCACCGAGATGTTTCACAGCTCTAGTCCTCTTCGGAAAGGCTTTCCTGAACGGTGCTTGGTGTCTAGAGCAGTAGTCTCCAAACTTTTTTGATCACACACCCCTATCAGTAAAAAATTTTTGAGCATGCACCCCGACGCGCCGGCTCTACCATTTTTGCCGAAGCAAAAAAAAATAATAAAAAGCCGCTCGGACTCCCACCTGACGAAGAAAAAAAAAGGCGCTCCTCCTGCCACGCACCCCCAAGGATCTTCTTGCGCACCCCACTTTGGAGACCACTGGTTTAGTGTAATGGCAGCTTTCCCTAAGCACGTTTCAGGTTTCTAGCACAGTCTGAATTAATGTTACTGAGAAGCTCTTTTGAATATTTCCAGCTATGGTATTGTTTTGGTTTGCACCATCCTCCCCTGCCATCAGCTGCATTTGGGCTGTTAGTATTAGTGCTGGGGTTGAAGCAATAATCCTTCTTTTCCTCACTGTCGATTGCTCTTTGGTTGCACCAATGACATGAAAATTTGGCATGCCCTTGTATATACACCTCTACCTCGATATAACGCTGTCCTCGGGAGCCAAAAAAATCTTACTGCGTTATAGGTGAAACCGCGTTATATTGAACTTGCTTTGATCCGCTGGACTGCGCAGCCCCGCCCTCCCCCCAGAGCACTGCTTTACCGCGTTATATCCAAATTTGTGTTATATTGGGTTGCGTTATATTGCGGTAGAGGTGTATATGCAAATATAAAGTGGAGGGTAGTAAGGGTTACACGGCAGATATAAACAAATTTTCACAACAGCCTTGTTCTTCACATCAAGCAAAGCAAGACAACTGTTGGGATTGGTCTGATTTTCTACATGGCTCTCCTCCTCCTAACTTGAAGAAGCTGCTTGATTAAGGCCAAGAGAGCAGATCCAGATCAACCCGCTCTTATGTGTCTATGCCACCAGTCCAGTCTATACAGGATTCTACAATTTGCTGTGGGTAAGCGAGGAAATCATTTTCTTAGAACAAGAAGAGGAGGAAATATTTTATTTATTTTGTATTTTTAAGAGGGACAAAAGAAAACAAACAAGCAAGCAAATTAGGTTAAAGTTAAAGGCATTAGCGGAACAGCTCAAATGCAGAGAGTGGCAGCATCTACAGTGAAAATATCAAAAGAACCAAGAAAATTTCTGCAATTTCAGCATGCTAGAATAAAAGAGCAAATAATTAAAAAAATAATTCTCCTTGAATGTACTGTGGTCTTTACTTCATTCCTTTCATAGCAACTAAACTATGGATATTGGGTTTGCTTTGGTACAATCACATTATTTTACACAATATTTTCTATGTATGAAGCCATTGCCATAAAGGCTTGTACTTATTATATAGTAATAACAGTCTTAAACGTATGAATAGTCACCAAAGAGAGTTACTCACGTGGAAGAAACAGACCATAGAAAAAAGACTGATTCATAAGCAAACCACAAAATCTATTAATAACTTCTACTGTCCCCATCCCCCACACATCCTCCACCCACCTAAACAAGATGCAGCGTAAATCTTTGAATACACTAATGTATTCCACACATGACAGGGTGGTGTGAGGTTTAGTTAAAGTCTGTACAGTGCTCTGAACATGCAGCACACTTAGGGTGACCAGATGTCCCAATAAAATTGGGAATGCCCCCCCTTTGTCCTGCATTCCGATCAATGTACGATTGGGATGCCATTTGTCCTGATATTCAGGTAAGGAGGCGAGCGGGAAGGAGGCGCTGACTCCGTGGGTGCTCCAGGGTTGGAGCACCCACAGAGAAAAATTGCAGCCAAGCTCCTCCCTCCTCCTCACCTCCTGCCCCCAGTGCACCGCGTCCCCGCTCCTCTCCGGGTCCCTCCTGGAAAGTGCTAAGCAATGCCAAACAGCTGTTAGGTGGCGGGAAGCGCTGGGCGGGGGGAGGAGCGGAGACACTGCGCACTGGGGGGGAGGGGGGACAAGAGGCAGGGCAGGGACGGGGACTTGGGGGCAGGTGGTGGAATGGGGGTGGAGCGAGGGCGGATGTTTGGGTGGGAAGAGGCAGGGGGTGGGTGAACACCCACCCGGCAGAGGGGAAATCAGCACCGTAGGGGTGAGTGGTGGGCGGGCGGGGCGTGTGTGTGAAGAGGGGAGTGGCAGGCGCGGAGGGTGAAGAGGTGAGCAAGCGGCTGGCGGCCGGGGTGAGGAGGCGAGCGGTGGGTGGAGGATTGAGGAGGGACACAGCAAGCCAGCAGGGGGTCGGGGGATGAGGAAGGACGTGGGGGGGGGCAGCGGCGAGGGGGCAGGACCTGGGGCAGAGTGCGGGGGGACGGAGCCTGGGAGGAGCAGGGGTGGACTGTGGGCGGGGCTGACAGCACCCCAACGTGTCCTGATATTTTAGTGTTGAGGTCTGGTCACCCTAAGCACACTAAATATATAAGTATTATTATTACATTAAACAGTGCATGTGATTGCCTTCAAGACATGCATGTATAGTACTCAGGGATTTCAGCTATAAAACTACCTCTCCCTTTGCAAGTCCCCATCTCAGATAAAAGTCGGATAGCACCATCCTTATCAAAAAGAAGAACAGGAGTACTTGTGGCACCTTAGAGACTAACAAATTTATCCTTATCAAAGTGATCAATGGCTCCATGTCTAGTTGGCAGCCGGTTTCAAACGGAGTGCCCCAAGGGTCGGTCCTGGGGTCGGTTTTGTTTAATATCTTTATTAATGATAATTATCCCCATATTGACTGGGAACATTTCACTTCAGGACAAAATGCAGAGATAAAATTTCTCGATACTTTAAATGACTGCTTCCTGGAGCAGCTGGTACAGGAACCCACAAGGGGAGAGACAACTCTAGATTTAGTCCTGAGTGGAGTGCAGGAGCTGGTCCAAGAGGTAACTATAACAGGACCGCTTGGAAATAGTGACCATAATGCAATAGCATTCAACATCCCTGTGGTGGGAAGAACATCTCAACAGCCCAACACTGTGGCATTTAATTTCCAAACGGGGATCTATGCAAAAATGAGGGGGTTGGTTAAACAGAAGTTAAAAAGTACAGTGACTAAAGTGAAATCCCTGCAAGCTGCATGGGTGCTTTTTAAAGACACCATAATAGAGGCCCAACTTCAATGTATACCCCAAATTAAGAAACACAGTAAAAGAACTAAAAAAGGGCCACTGTGGCTTAACAACCATATAAAAGAAGCAGTGAGAGATAAAAAGACTTCCTTTAAAAAGTGGAAGTCAAATCCTAGTGAGGCAAATAGAAAGGAGTATAAACACTGCCAAATTAAGTGCAAGAATGTAATAAGAAAAGCTAAAGAGTTTGAAGAACGGCTAGCCAAAAACTCCAAAGGTAATAACAAAATGTTTTTTAAGTACATCAGAAGCAGGAAGCCTGCTAAACAACCAGTGGGGCCCCTTGATGATCGAGATACAAAAGGAGCGCTTAAAGACGATAAAGTCATTGCGGAGAAACTAAATGGATTCTTTGCTTCAGTCTTCACGGCTGAGGATGTTAGGGAAATTCCCAAACCTGAGCCGGCTTTTGTAAGTGACAAATCTGAGGAACTGTCACAGACTGAAGTGTCACTAGAGGAGGTTTTGGAATTAATTGATAAACTTAACATTAACAAGTCACCGGGACCAGATGGCATTCACCCAAGAGTTCTGAAACAACTCAA